CGGTTTCTAGCGTTGTAAGTTCGCAGATATACCGCTGTGCCATTCAAAGAAAAAACAATGAGAATTCCAACATTTTTACTTATTTTAATAATTATAATTATCAATTATTTTTCTCCAAATCTTTTCAGATTTCATTTTTTTTATTCTAAATTTAGTACCTTTCTCTTAATTCTCTTAATTTAAATCTTAATTCCTTGTCCTTGATAACTCCTAAGTTACCTGTAACTAAATGATTATGAAAAAAAAAAGTCCTTGAAATCACTATTACTACAGTTACAAGGCTATTTGTCAACTTCAGTTGGTTAGGACGTTCGACTCGCAATCTAAGGGTCGCGGGTTTGAATTCCCGTCCCACCAAACATGCTCGTCCTTTCAGCCATGAGGGCGTTATAATGTGACGGTCAATCCCACTATTCGTTGGTAAAAGAGTAGCCCAAGAGTTGGCGGTGGGTGGTGATGACTAGCTGCCTTTCCTCTAGTCTTACACTGCTAAATTAGGGACGGCTAGCGCAGATAGCCCTCGCGTAGCTTTGCGCGAAATTCAAAACAAAGAAACAAACAAACAACTTCAGTTGGATTAAGTTCTTCAATGAACTTTTAATAGTTAAAGAAAAGAGGTCATATCGGTTTATTATATTGAAAACAGACTATAGGTTGAAACAATTTTATGGCTGAAATGTTTTCTTAAACACTTTTATAAAAGTGAACTAACAGGTTTTCCGATCTGTTAGTCAGCCATATTTCTCTTGTGTCGGTTGGCACGCGCTATTATTTAGTCAGCTCCAAATACGAATGATCTCATTTTAGTTAATTAAGTAGTTGAAGCTACGACTTTTGATAAATTGTTTTCTGTAGACCTCTAAACATTAACATTCTGTTACGTTGTAACATTACAGAAATCTTATGTTCAACCCGTAAAAGGTAAAGTACGTGTTTCTGAACATTGGCGTTTTGCTGTATTGCTCATTAAAGAATCATCTACTTCAAGTGATAAATCAGAGGTTATGCTGCTTACTTCATTTAAATTTTCAAGCGTAACCTCTTAATTATATATTACAGCTGCCAGCTTTACCTAAATGCCCCCCCCCCCGTCAGTAGCACAGCGGTATATCTGCGGACTTACAACGCTAGAAATCGGGTTTTGATACCGGTGGTTTGGTAGAACACAAATAGGCTATTGTATAGCTTTGTGCTTAACTTCAAACAAACTTTACATTAACACATTTCAGTAGCTATTCGTTTATGTTTTGTAAAGGTAATGTCTTCATCTGTAAACGCCCCCCCCCCCCATGTATGCCTCCTAGAGCCTTGAGACACTCCTCAAGATTATTTCCTGAAACTTCTGTGTATTTTGGCACAGCTTCTATAGATCCATAAATACTATATAAGCTCAGTCTGAGAAATGATTCAAATGGAAATATGGCTAAATACTTGTAATTTAATATGAAACCGTTCAGGACTTCGAAACTTACAAAGAAATTCATAAAGACGAGTTAGGAATATCAGAAAACAATACTACTATTAAATAGAGAAGGCGTGTTATTTCTTAGGCCTAGCATGGCCTGGTGGTTAGGGCGCTTGACTCAAAACCTGCGGGTCGCGAGTTCGAATTCCGTCACCGAACATGCTCACCCTATCAGCCATGGAGCGTTATAATGTGACGGCCAATCTCATTTCCCACCCTAAAGTAATTCAGCAATAAGTCTGCAGGCTTACAACGCTAAAAATTTAATTTCAATACTTGTTGTGGGCAGAGCACAAATAGCCCATTGTGTAGCTTTGCGCTTAATAACAACCAACAAAACAAATTTTCCTTAATGAAGTATCTAAATATATACTCTCTGAATAATTTCCTAATTCTATTAGATATTACTTTACTTGTATATATATATAAGTACATCGGTGGCTCAGGGATAGGTTCGAGGGCTTATAACGCTAATATTCGGGTTAGATCTCTGCAGTAGTCACAACATAGAAAGTAATTGTGCAGCTTTGTGCTTAATGGCAAAGAAAATTTACACATCACGTGGTGTTACTGCAGATAAACAAAATTTACACATCACGTGATGTTACTGCAGGTAAATCAAAATTTATGTTACTGCAGGTAAACACAATTTACACACCATGTGACGTTACTGCAGGTAAACAACATTTACGCATCACGTGATGTTACTGCAGGTCAACACAATTTACACATAACGTGATGTTACTGCAGGAAAGATTTTTGTATATCTTCATTCATTTTTAGGGCCAGGCGTGGCCTATTGGTTAGCGTACCGATACCGCAAAGACGAGTTCCGTACTTTCGGGTCGCGGGAGCGTTATAATAAAAGTAATTGTTCACTCTCACTGTTCAATTAAAGTAGCTCAAGAGTTGGCGGTGTATGCTTTCTACTAGCTGTCTTCCTTCTTGTCTATCAGTTCAGAATTAGCGCAGATAGTCCTTGCGTAGATCTGTACAATTATCCGAAACAAATCAAACAGTCATTTTCCGGTAATGATATTACAGACTTCGTATGAAGTTTGTTAGAGCACTTTATTATCATCAAATGGACCATTCTCTCTCTCTCTATATATATATATATATATCTTCAAAGAAGACCAGTAATCAAATGTTCAATGACAGCTTTTAATGAGTAATCACATGATATTTATTCTTAGGGTTAGTATGATCGTATGCCGATATAAGTTCTATGTAGTAGTAGTAGTAGTACAGACTTTTTTTCTAAAATGCGTATTATAGAAAACCTCTTCACATAATATATACTAGATGTACTTCCGCAGGGTCCCCGAAAGTGTTCTGTTTCAAGAGTAAATAAAACCAAAATTAATAGTAACAAATATTTTTATTTATTTGTTTTAAAGATTAAATATCATGCTTTGTTGTAGCCTACAGAGTGCATAATTCGTCTCGTGATTCCTGGCATGCGTACGTTTTACTGACGCCACGACAGTACAAATTGCAACGTTTAGCGTCCTTTATGTGACGTCATTTTAATGTCTATTGATTGACTGACAGACAACAAACTAGTGTACAGTGGTGCGAATGGTTAAAACAGGTGAACCCTCCAGACAGCCTTCGGCCCCCTTTCTGGAAAATTCAAAATATTGTAGCTTATTATTTAGCTATTAATCACAAAGCTGCCAAATGGTCTACTCGACCCTCAAGTTTTAGCTTTATAAGCCCTGATGCCTACTACTGAGTTACCGGAGGAACACCTCTTGTAAAGCAACATTTCTATGTTATCAACTTGTATACATGTATGTGTTGCTTTGCCACTATCAGGTACAGAATCAAAAGTTCCTCTAAAGATGAGCTGCGAAGTATGCGATAGAGGGTTTAAAAATACAGTATCATATGTAGTTACTCTTCTGTTTCTTCCAAGAGACTCACTGAGAGCTACTGTTGCACCAAGATTAACTTTTTATGTTTAAAACAAACTGCCATTTAACATCGCATTCCAGATAAAAAGTACATTTAGGAAAAGCTTAACTTGATATTTGTAACTGGCCTCTTTTTTTTAATAGTTTGACTTGCAGTGGACAAACCAGATAGTCCAACGTGGCTTTGCTCTAAAACAAATAAACAATTAAATCAAATTAATGTAGACGTCAGTTGTTTAGAGATATCATTTATTAATTATCTTCACACTTTCAACAGTTTCTATTCAGTACTCTATATCATATTGAATTGTATAGAATGTCTTCTTCAGTAGCAACCAACACCATCAATTTCTGTTCATCTAACGTTAGTAGCTACACGATCTTGTATGGATCGTTTGCTTAAAGTATTAAAACTGTTTACTTCATTTACCTTAAATAATGGACGTATGAATCAGGGCTACAGCATAACGGGGCTGGTCGTAATAGTGAACATTTATATCACCAATAAAGGTTATAAAAAGAACATATATAGAACAAAAAAATCATTATTCGTCTCAGCTGTTGGATTAATTACGCCTACTTATTGCACTAAATAGGACAGGAGTGAATTTAATTGGTGATTAGAGAGAGTATTTTTTTATTATTCTGGTTTAGGTTTTGTATTGATTTTTAAATTAGTTCTTTTTTCTCACTTTAATCTTTAACTAGAGCTCAGACCTCTTTAACCAATGAATAAACGCCTCGTACCATTTGGGAGATTTCACCGTACAATGTCAGATTTAATGACGTCATACATTAGAAGACGTGTACAATTTGCGTCATTATCCGAATCTACAGAAAACCTCTGCTTGGTGTTTCTTGAGCCTTCAGATGCAAATATCCGAATCTACAGTAAACCTCTGCTTGGTGTTTCTTGAGCCTTCAGATGGAAATATCCGAATATACAGAAAACCTCTGCTTGGTGTTTCTTGAGCCTTCAGATGCAAATATCCGAATCTACAGAAAACCTCTGCTTGGTGTTTCTTGAGCCTTCAGATGCAAATATCCGAATCTACAGAAAATCTCTGCTTGGTGTTTCTTGAGCCTTCAGATGCAAATATCCGAATCTACAGAAAACCTCTGCTTGGTGTTTCTTGAGCCTTCAGATGCAAATATCCTTGGAATACGGCGTATAGTTTGAAGCTTTTAATAATAATCCCTATCGGAAATAATTTACAATAAAATGTAATTAAAATAGTGTCTGTCTCTCAGCTAGTGTTAGCAATTTCCTATAACACCTCTATTTTATATACTTTTCCTTTTGACAACATTTTTATCCAAGGAGTGTGAAATGAAATGACCTTCAAGCCTATCCAGAGAGTATGACATTGAATTATACTGTAACTTATCCAGTGAGCTTGACAAAGCTTATACTAGCACATATGAATGTACCCTATTAAAGATGATGGGTATATTGAACGATGATGTCCGTTTGGTCTAGTATTACATGAACATAATGATGCAACTCTTGATACGGTTAAGACGAAATTAGAAATTGTTTTTTCAAGATAATTTTTATTAAAAGCATGGTCTCCAAACAACAAAGAAGAAAACCAATAAAACTACACAAAATACTGTTTTCATAACATTCAAACAAGAATCTACGAAGAATAACAACAATAAAACTCTCTATAACATTGTCCTTCTAGTAATCAAACAACAATCTAAGAAGAATAACAACGATAAAACTCTATAAAACTTTGTACTTCTAGTATTCAAACAACAATCTAAGAAGAATAACAACAATAAAACTCTCTATAACATTGTACTTCTAGTATTCAAACAAGAATCTACGAAGAATAACAACAATAAAACTCTCTATAACATTGTACTTCTAGTATTCAAACAACAATCTAAGAAGAATAACAACGATAAAACTCTTAAACTTTGTACTTCTAGTATTCAAACAACAATCTAAGAAGAATAACAACGATAAAACTCTACTAAAACATTGTACTTCTAGTATTCAAACAACAATCTAAGAAGAATAACAACGATAAAACTCTATAACATTGTACTTCTAGTATTCAAACAACAATCTAAGAATAACAACGATAAAACTCTATAAGAAATTGTACTTCTAGTATTCAAACAACAATCTAAGAAGAACAACAATAAAACTCTCTAAAACATTGTACTTCTAGTACTCAAACAACAATCTAAGAATAACAACAATGAAACTCTATAAAAAATTGTACTTCTAGTAGTCAAACAACAATCTAAGAAGAATAACAACAATAAAACTCTCTAAAACATTGTCCTTCTAGTATTCAAATAACAATCTAAGAGAGTTTTATTGTTGTTGTTCTTCTTAGATTGTTATTTGAATACTAGAAGGACAATGTTTTAGATAGTTTTATTGTTGTTCTTCGAAAACATTGTACTGCTAGTATTCAAACGTCAATCTAAGAATAACCACAACAGATAGGTATGATTTGACTTTTAGAAATCCTCCAGCCATATCCTCGCTATTAGTGTATTTGATAACGTAAGGAAGGGCTGAATTAAAAACAGATTCATCCTCACTTGTTGTTTCGCAAACAAAGTTGTTGTTTTTTTTAGAAATATTCCCCATATTTATCTTACTGAAGCAAGTAATCATTTCGTGTTGAAGGTGGCCAGTGGTGCGTATTTTTCATTTTTTATAGAATTAATCTTTCATCTAATATGAACCGAAACTAATACCGAAGATTAGTGTTAAGAAACACACCATTGTACAATCAAACACAATAACTAACCTGAAGTAATTACATTACGTAGAAATACCAAGTAATGAACATCTAAGTAGAAAAATTACTTGTATGTTACATTTAGTTTCGTATTGTTAATTATATTCTCGCTGCATTAACAACGTTTTACAATATATAATAATATTATTCCGTAATATGTTTTAGATTTTTCTCAATAACATCTTAGTATAATTAGTTTTTCAGTTACGTTTCACAAACAATAAACTTAGTAAATCTTGAGAAATTTCTCATTAAAGGATTATCAAGTATATAATTATAATTCCTTATAATTAACATATTTTTCTTTACCCTACCGCTGTTTTTAACTTTTTCGGCATTCTTCGATCCGATCAAAATACATTTGCTAATTAAATATATTTTAAGCATTATTAACTTTCGAAGTTTTTTAAAAACGGTTTCAACTTTTATGAAATTTATGACTCATAGAGGTTTTCATAACCATACTTTGATTACAGTGTCACTTCGTGCAATGTCAGCAAGGCATTCTTTTTTCTTCAGAGATGTTACATTATGATCAGATTTATCAAACTAGGAACAACAATGGGTAAAAATGTATCAACTCTGATAATGATAAAACTGATCATGTGAATAAGAACAACAACGGGTAAACATTATCAGAGTTGATACATTATGATCAGTTTTATCTGAATAGGAACAACAATGGGTAAACATGATCAGGTATAATAAGTAAACTTACTATTCCGAAAATTGTTTAATCTCGAAGAATAAGTTCAAGGGAGTACCAATTCAGTCTACACTTTGATCAACGTGTGTTATTGGGTTATACTAGTTTCGGATAATTCCACTCCTCATCAGTAACCCTCAACACAAGTTAACCAAAGATAGATAAGCTGGACCTATATAATGTTTGAAACATGATCAGGGTTGATACATTATGATCAGTTTTATCTTAACAAGAGCAACAAAGGATAAACATTATTCCTATAATTCCAAGATGTGAATTATTCAGATATAACTTCTTTTTGTTTTAAACAAATCGCCAGTATTTTGGGCCATATATTGGTTAGATAATTTTAGGAAATTAATATGAAAATTTCAAGGTTTAGTCTGATCAATTAGTCCTTGTTCTTAGAATTCTCGTTCCGCTATTGTTTGCTTCTCCTGTGTGCCAGTTCGTATGACAAAGAAAACAGTTTATCAGGGGTTTTACATACCTTAAAGAAACACTTGCTAAAGTCGTAGGTTTAATTTAAGATGTGTGGACTCTTTTATTAATTAATTCTATTGCAGTGACATTAAGATAAAAAGATCGATTAAAGAGGACGTTGTACAGGTTTCATATGCAACAGTTGGTATTTGATTTGTCATTTCCGTCCATGGAATTGCGGTGTATCACTCGTAGAGTTGAGATCTTGAGGGTTAGTTATTTTTCGTAAGAAATTGGATGAAGTAATTTAAGAATGCTTTTAAAAGATTTACTCAAACGAGTGTCTGAAGGCTTCTGGTTGTGTGTGCAAGTTTTTTTTTAAAGCAAAATAATTAGTAATCAATTTTATTCCACTAATGACGTAGTTTAATAAAAATGAACTGCCTGTGTGTGACGTTTGTCTGGAAATGGTACTTATTTCGTTATCGCCTTACGTTTGTCGTCTTCATCTTAATTTGAAAATCATATTTTTATTTTTCGGAGACAATGGATAATACTACTGTGATGTATTGTGTTAGAGTACTTGGGGCTCTAAAATAGACTTAGAATAAGGTCTATGAATGAATGGATAATACTACTGTGTTGTATTGTGTTACAGTACTTGGGGCTTTAAAATATACTTAGAATAGGGTCTATGGATGAATGGATAATACTACTGTTTTTTATTGGATTACAGTACTTGGGGCTCTAAAATAGACTTAGAATAAGGTCCATGAATTAATGGGTAATACTACTGTGTTTTATTGTGTTACAGTACTTGGGGCTCTAAAATAGACTTAGAATAAGGTCCATGAATTAATGGGTAATACTACTGTGTTTTATTGGGTTACAGTACTTGGGGCTCTAAAATAGACTTAGAATAAGGTCTATGAATGAATGGATAATACTACTGTGTTTTATTGGGTTACAGTACTTGGGGCTCTAAAAT